AACCCAGGTCCCACGTAGCTATGGTAAAGCTAGAGTATATAGTACAATGAGACTGGGCCTGGGTTCATAGTGCTACTAATAATGATACCTGATACCCTCTAATTGCTATAATAAGGACCACCACAACTGTATTTTACACAAATTTATCCCTCACCGGGTATTTATTTAGACAAAAAGAAATAAAATAAACAGTTACTTTTATAAAATGAATTGAATTAAAATAAACAAACAAAATTACTGTAAAAGTGACTACATAGGTTTTCAATAAAAGATTATCAAAACAAAATACCTCTTTCTTAGGTGCCAACTGTTATTTCAGTTACAACAGCTCACACCTTTAAAATGGATGAATTTCAACCTTTGATAATAACTTTGATTAAAACTACACACTTACTCAATTTAAACCGAATTTGTAACAGTGGGCCCACACACACACACACTTTAACCTGTCCACACTACACCTGTAGCACGGTGCTTGTTGCAGGCCTGATTCGAAGTTCGGGTGCGGTGAGGCCTAAAACTGATGGCCGCTTCACTCAAACTGAGCAATAAACAAAATACGTGCACTTTAGTTCCAGTTAGTACTCACGAGTCCAATGAGTTTGTTAGTGGGGCAATCAGAAACGGGCAGTTAGTTCACCAGTAGTGAAGACAGTCAGGGGTAAGAAAACAGTCAGGGGTGAGAAAACAGCAGGGTCCATCCGGGCAGAAACCTCTCTCTCCCTCTCCTTTCAGAGCGTCCATCGGCTTCTAAACATATTAAAACACTTGAGCTACAATACCAAATGCTATCACATAACGATTTAGCATTAGCATGCTTTGACTGAAAATAACAGAGCTAAACATACAGCATGGCATCACAGCACATAACGCGGTAAGCTGCGCTAATTAGCAAGCCGCTAGTTAGCATCACATATCACACCATTTTACCACTATAACGAATAGTTACAGTACAAATGTCAAGGCACACAGTCTCATTTACCTCTTGCAGATCACAAATAAGTAATATCAGGACCACGGGTAGTCGACCTCAATGATACACTTAGATGCAAAATCCACACCACGTTTGCCTTACAACATCTCTCTCTTCGGACTTAGCTTCTGTGTCCGCTCCCACAGATTCACACAAATCTTACCACTCGTCCCGCCCCCATAGCAGAGAAGAATGACATTGACTGGCTCGTCAGCACAACAACCAATGACAATACAACGTTGAGATAACTGACATTAGATGGGTAAATAAACTTAGGTTACACCCCAACATATTGATTCTGCATAGAAAATGAACTCTAAATCATGAAACCCTTTTATTTATTGGACTCTTAACTGTAAATGAAATACATTTGTACCAAAGCATATGATTTTAAACCTTTTATCAACTATTTATATTTTAACCATTTTTTATAACAGTAGACTTTTTTTCCTTTACCCTGTAAGCCTGAATAATTTCAGACAGGGCTACATTTATTTATTTTTATAACCCCTTTGACCACTTCGTCACACTTAAGTGATAAAGTATTGGTGTTTTCATTGTACACTGTGGTGGGGCGTGGTCTGCGGTGCCGTGCAGGGAGGGCGGACGCACCTGCACGGCATCCTTAATCACGCCCGCCTAGTTAAAAACACGGGGACTCAGGGGTTTGGGGGTGTTGTGGTGTGGTGAGATGTAAATAAAGATGACTCTGAACGTTGCTCCGTGGTCCCGCCGTGTCTTATTCACGCCACATTGGTGCCGAAACCCAGGAGGCAGCACGGCGGGTCCATATCGGAGCCAGGGAATGGAGGAGCTGGCCCAGAGAGTGGCCGAAATGGCGGCCGCCCAGCGGGAGCAGGCGGCGGAGGTGCGTCGCCAGCAGGAAGAGCTACAGGACCAGTCCGAGCGGCACCTGGAAAGGATTGGGGAGCTGGCGGCGCTGCTCTGGGCCTGGGCGCCACCCCCACAGGTGTGTCCCGAGGACAGTGAAGCGGTGGAGGAGCCGCGTGAGGCACCTCAGCAGCCGGAGGTGGCAGACGAGGCGCGCGGGAATCTGCGCCTGCCGGAGGAGGGGGAAACAGCCAGGTGAAGGGCTGCTCCTGCCGGGAGTGGTGGATGAGCCGCTCTAACCGGAGGCGGCAGACGAGGTGCGCGAGGGTCTGCGCCGGTTGGAGAAAGAGGAGCTGCACGAGGGGCTGCTCGAGCCGGGAGTGGCGGCGGAGGGAGCAGTAGTGACGGAGGAGTCGCGCTATGGGCTGCTCCAGCAGGGAGCGACAGCGGTGGAGGGGCCGCGCAAGGAGCTGGAGGTCCCAGTGCCAGGGGAGCTTGCTCGAGTGGAACTGGCGAGCGAGGCGGGCGCCACGCTTGAGATCGCCGTGCTCGCCAGACCGGCCTCACCACCACCAGAGGCCTGTACACGCCACACCTCTGCCCAGCCACCTGTGAGCTGGGGCTCACGCTTGTGCCGGCCGCGCCGGGTGCACCTGTCACGTGTCCGACTTCCGAACCAGCTTTGCCTGCGCCGCTGGATTCGCGGGCGGCCGCCTGAACTCGCACCTCCCCGTCGCTTGGCCGGGGCCTGGGGTGCCAGCTGTCCGGGCTGATTCCCTCTCCCACTGGCGGTGGGGGAGTAGGTTCGGCCGGATGGCTCCCCGGCCTCAATCGGGCGATGGGGGTATGTGGTGGGGCGTGGTCTGCGGTGCAGTGCAGGGAGGGCGGACGCACCTGCACGGCATCCTTAATCACGCCCGCCTAGTTAAAAACACGGGGACTGAGGGGTTTGGGGGTGTTGTGGTGTGGTGAGATGTAAATAAAGATGACTCTGAACGTTGCTCCGTGGTCCCGCCGTGTCTTATTCACGCCGCATACACATTTTGCATTTTCATTTTCTAATTGTCATATCTACTCTCATCAGTAGCAGCTGAAAAAGAGAAAATTAATACAGAGCCAAAGTGAGTCCAGCTTTTTGCTAAAGGTTTCCACAGCAGTCCCAGTTTCTCATGTGGTCCCCTGAGAAAATTAATTGCCCACCTTTGCTCTAAAAACAAGCTTGGCTAGAAACCTGCAATCACAATCTATGTGGTTGCAAAGTGCTGACATACATTCAGTAGCTGCTTAGATCAGTGTCAATAGACTAAGAAATACTAGAATTTCACTCACCAAAACTAAAGCACAACCTCTGAGTATAAATAAAACCATATTATTTGTCAGATAATTTAATGAAAAATGATTTAAAAGGCACTGACCGCACATACATGGTTTGCACATCACACAGTAAAGGTAGCCACAGCCCTAACTTAAACTAAGGAAAGAAACCAACTGGATTTCTTTCAGTTTCATGAAGGTGTTTCACCTCTTATCTTCTTCAGCTTCAAAACCAGATAAAAAGTCCCAGGTAGTTAAACCCTAGTGGGGCTTGTCCCTTTAGGTACTTGCAAAACAGAACCAACTCTATACAACGCGGGTTTCTATAGACAAAAACATGAATGTGTCATGGGCTCATCAGTGTCACCCATTGCAGCCAACCTCTACATGGAGGAAGTGGAAAGTAAAGCTCTTGGCACTTTCAAAGGGAAAGCACCCAGCCACAGGTACAGATACTTGGATTACACATGGATCAAAATCAAAACCCAAGATCTAGAAGCCTTTACTGTTCACATCAACTCAGTGACTAAAAACATAAAGTTCAGCAGGGAGGATACAAGAGATCATAGTTTGCTGTATCTAGGCTGTGCACATAGAGGATGATGAGAACCTCAGGATAGGGATTTAAATTGGCGAGTGGGACTGTAGCCTGAAGTGTGTATGGTTAAATGGGACATGTTTAATTTCTGGTCATTTTATGTAGAAAATTTTCTCCTGAGAGAAATAAGTAGTGTACTATATTACTTTTATGAAAAGTCATCTTTGTAATATGTGTAATAATGACATTTCTTGAGTAACAACCCCAAACTGATCACGGGAAAGAGGAGACATACCTCCAACATGCACAACCATATTACCACGGAGGATGCAATTCATAAGCACTACTGTAATGTCTTTGATATGCTGTTTAGCGATGGCGGTGACTCTCAAAGCAGAGCCAGTGAGAACTGATAAGGAATTCAATCACTCAGTGATATCATTAATGGAATCCAAATCACTACATTTTCTTCAGTTCCCAACTGGTGAACCTCCACTGCTCAGCCATTGAGAGGATACTTACATACTGCATAAGAGGCTCCAAAAAGTGGTCAACAAAATGCAGCAGATCATTGACTGTTGTTACAAAAGACTTCAGCCATTCTACATCTCACCTGTTTGACCTACTGCCCTCTAGGAGGCACTGCAGTCTATCCAAATCAGCACCAACACTCTCAGGAACTGTTTTTTTCTCCTCAAGGCATCACTGCTGAACACAGACACCTCCCACTCAAACTCACGCATCAGTGTTTCTCAAACCCATAAATAACACACACACTAAAGCATGCACATCACCACCACGCAAGTCAATTTACAATACAGAGCAAATTTGTACATTTGAATACTCTGGTACTTTTAGATGTGATGATGTTTAATGATAAACATTTAACGTTTAATGAAGAAGCTTCTCGGATGAGAGGTGAAACGTCTTCAAGTAACTTAAAGAAGTCCAGACGCTTTTCTTTGCAAGCTCCTTTGACTACGATGACCTGGATGACTGAGAACCTTCACAGACATTTAATGATAAAGTTTTCAGTTTCAGTCACTGCATTAAGCTCTTACTAAAAATGTAATGTTTGTGTTTTCAGTTTTCTAATTTCTGTTGACAGAAACTGTCAATTTCTCAGCAAAGCTCAGAAATTTATAGTAAATTTATATAAATTATGGAACTTTAAAACTGTCTTTTTCGAAGATGGAGGGTAAATGGGACCATCAGTGGCGATAGATCAGTTGAGAAGCGTGAACGAGTCAGAGAAAAAACCTACACAGAAAGTGTAAAACAAAACAGGATGTTCAAACTTCCTGAGTCAAGCTTTACAAGAACTTTGAAAGCTTTACCAGAATTTTGAAGGCACATATCAAGATGCGTTGCATTTTATTTTGGGGCGCAATTTTGTGGATGTATTCATCTGAAACAAAAGGTAAATAGCTAGTTTTTATACTAATATTTAAACTTGTATCCTACAATTTATGTGCCCATCATTCATGCTCCAATCAGTTTAATTTTTAAAGGCATGTATGCTGGTAAATAAAAACCTCCCTCGGGTGCTTTAAACCTAAAGTAAAAAAAAGTAATAGCCTGTTTTTAAAATATAAGCTATTTCTCTTAAAATGTATGGAGCAAAAGCAAAAAGCTATCATGAAAGTAAATACTGAAATAAAGTAAAGATACCTAAGAAGTCTACTTAACACGGTAACAAAGTATTTGTACTTTCTTTCTAGTACGAACTAACAATGTAACAAAGTATTTGTACTTTGTAATTTCAGAGGTCTGCTTTTTAGGTGCTCGTTTGTAAATTTCATTGAGCAGGGCTCTAGACTAACATTTTGCCTCGGTTGCATTAGTGCACTTAACTTTTTTTCTTAGGTGCGCCCAAATATTTCAAACGCATTGCAGAACACCACAGTTTTACATGTTCACCTTTTTTTTTTTTTTGAAAATTGCTGTCCATACAGACAATATTGATTTATAAATGGTTAACTATCAATCTTGTCAACACAAAGTTCTTTATTTGGAGCACAGTTCTACAAGAAAGATAAGTTACTGAAAAAGTGCTTGTGCTTCAAGTGTTTCACCGAGCTGAAATTTAAACTTAAAACATCTCAAGATATATTAAATAAAAAGTAAATCTAAATTAAAAGGACCTCAAAGTGTCTCAAAGGCTTAAAACTGAACATCTTAATATCTGAACAGTTGGATATTTTATGGACGATCCTCCATTGCAGTCACATGCCCCTCAGATGGCCAACCCCCCCCCTCCACACACACACCTTTTTTTTCCCAATGTGTCTGTGATGACACCAATAAATGTATGTGGGGTTTACGTTTAAGCCATTTTTCTTGTGAAGAATTATTTCAGACTTGGGGACATTTGGGCAATGTATTTATCCTGGTATATAGTGTGTTTTCTGGATACTAGGCTACTCTGTCCGTCAGCACTTTTGAAAGTACACACACGTAGGCCTAAAGGAATAAAGGAATATCTGTACCATGGCCAATCAGAGAGGTCCTGCCCTTGACTATCTCTGATTGGTTTGACCATGATATGGGCATGTTGTGTATCTGTTGTTGACCACATGGAGACTTTCAGAGTTATGAAGACTTTAGTTTTTTACTTGAACAGCTGGTAGCACCGATGCGACGTCAGACTTTTTTAGTTGCACCATTGAGAATTTAGGTTGCGTCGCACTCTAGAGCCCTGCTGAGGAGTGAATCCTCCCTAGGATGTTGATTTAATCTTCATAGGAGCCACAGTATCCTGCACTAAAAAAAAATATATAACAATTTTTTTTTTAGTGCGTGGGAGGCCAAGAGTGCAACTTTCAAAGTAACCCTAACTGACCTGGTCTTTGGTTGATATATAAAGTAGAGTGAAAGATTGTTGGAACTCCTTTGCTGCTGTTATTTACTAAGAAGACATTGAAGAGCCCATTAGCCCATATATAACGGGGCGATCGTGGCTCAAGAGTTGGGAGTTCGTCTTGTAATCGGAAGGTTGGGGGTTCGAGCAGTCTCTGTCATTCACCCGTTGCCTACTGGTGGTGGTCAGAGGGCCGGTGGCGCCAGTGTCCGGCAGCCTCACCTCTGTCAGTGCGCCCCAGGGCAGCTGTGGCTACAATGTAGCTTGGCATCACCAGTGTGTGAATGGGTGGATGACTGGTTGTGTAAAGCGCTTTGGGGTCCTTAGGGACTAGTAAAACGCTATACAAACACAGGCCATTTTTTGGTGCAGTTTAAACAAATAAACTATATATTTTTTTTAATTTTAAGGGTAACTTTTTTATTATTTGCCTTATTTCTGATCTGGAATCACCGAGAAATATACTAGGGCTGGGTATCGTCACTGATTTCTAGAATCGATTCGATTCGATTCCGATTCACAAGGTCCCGAATCGATTCAATCCACGATTCGATTCAATTAGATTCGATTCGATTTAAATCTGGGAAATTTTGCCTCAGACAGTCAGAAATATTATAATTCAGATCAGTACATTTACATATTTTTGTATCTATAAAAAGGAAGCTGACACTCGCAATGCTTTATCAAAGGTGTAAGCATCACAGCAGAGGCCTTTGTGTCAAAGTAGCTAAAGATAAAACACAGAAAAACATGAAGGTGATTTTCCTGGCCTGGGATTTTATAAAAATATTCTGCAGTACATCAAAAACGAAAGAAAACCATTAATCAACATATGAACATTACCTCTGAAGTTACAGTGGTTTTATTACAGACACAGCTAAGCGTTTTGCATTTTACATAATTTTAAAAAGTTTACATTTGTTCAGTAACCTATTGAACAGCAGAAATTAGGCTTTCTTTTCGGAAGTAAAAGGGAAAAAAACAGCGGTAACAACGGTAGACTTGTGCGTAACAAGCAAGCGAATAATGCAGAAAACAGATTTTTAGACGGGAAACTGTTCTTGAAGTATACAGAGAGAGCTGTGCATGAAGTGTGGTGGAAGCAAAACAGCAAAGTAAGAGGGAGTCCATGACGATGTTTATGTGAAGCGTAGTTTGGATCTTCTTTTGCTGCTGGTTCGGTCAATAATGTTTGGAGAGAGATAAAACTAACAGTTTTAGAATCAGCGCAAAAAGGGCATAAACACAAAGCTCGGACCCGCCGAAACATCGGAATCAGCAAGCTGTCGGCTTTCAGCCCCGACCGTGTCAGTGCCGTCGGGTGAGAAAGGCGACATCTCACTGATTCTGTTCCGTCGGCAGGTCCGAGCTTTGTGTTTACATCTTTGTGCAGAATCTGTGTACCTGCTCTCATTTACTGTTTTAGCTGTTTGGTGGTTCTTGAAATTTTGTGAGGTTTAACCTGAGATTCTGGCGTTTTGGGCAAAATAAATTAATATTAAAAAAATCCATTCAGGATTTTAATGAATCGATATCACATTATCCAAGCCAGAATCGATTTTAATCGATAAATCGATTATCAAAACCCACCACTAAAATATACCCTTAAAATCCCAACACACAGAGTCTCTGTGGTGATGGGAATTTTAAGTGTATAACAGTAGGAGATAAGCTGCAGAGAGATGTGTGAGACTCTGCTTACTGGTCCAAACCCTGGTCATGTTTTGATTGGTTTAATATATTTGGTCATATCTCGAGACATGAGAGTTGCACTGTCTGAAGTGAGATTGAAGCTGTATCTCATAAAAGTTTGGGTTTTCCACAAACATAATTTCCTTAGGGATGATTAAAGTATTCTGATTCTGATACTGATTATCTGATGTGTGAAACCCATAATGTTTGGTGGGTGCCACAGACAGCAAGCAGTTAGATGTAAATGGACTGGTTCTTATATAGCCCTTTTCTACTCTGAGAACTCAAAGTGCTTTACACAACTTGCCTCATTTACCCATTCACACCAGCACTTTTTTTCTATGCCCATGTGACTAGACAATAATGAAAATAATCAAATGATAGGGTGGAGCAGTGGGTGGTGTCAGGAGAGGTTGACCAACACAGCTGGTCTCCATCGTTCAATCATGCCTGCCCCTGTGTGAGTAGATTACCAAGACCTGACCAAAGTGCTTTGTGAGGTGTGCAAAGAGCAGAAAAGCTCTGGTGAAAAAAGTACTACAAAATAAATATCCACAACACTGCAACAATATTTGTGTCAGGTCTTTTTTGTATTACTGTTGTGTTTGGTTTAACAGAATTGGAGCTGAATGTTCATGATTCTGATACTTTTTGGTTTCTTTTCTTTTAGGGCTCCAACATGTGTTTGTACTGCACGGAAAGGACTTACACTTGGATGTAGAGAAACCTGTTAAACTTGAGAAAAAGACTGACTTTTTCTGGAAGTTTAATACCAGTAATTATGTTGGTAAAATCAGTTATAATAAAGAGTCAGTATTGTTTGGCAGCTATGAAGTAAGAGCTGATTTTTTTGGCCAAAATTACTCTTTGGTATTGAAAAATGTAAAACACAGTGACAGTGGAGATTATACTGCAGTAGTGACTGGGGGAAAAGAGCAAAGGGTAGGTGAAATCAAGGTCATAGTCCAAGGTAGGTTTATTTTTGTCATTTTCATTTCAAATATTGACACAGCATATATCTGTGTTAATTCTATTCACACCTGCTTTTAATTCCCAGATCCAGTGTCTCCAGTTAATCTGACATTGACCTCCAGCAGCTCAGACTCCTGTAACCTGACTGTAACCTGCACTATAGTGGACCTGAACATCAGCCGTACTTTTAGATGTGATGCTCACAACTGCTCTCTGTTGGAAGAAAATCCCAGCACCACAGACATGCTTTCCTCTCTGATTGTTTACCTGCAGCAAGACACTGTCTTTTGTAATCATAGCAATGAAGTAAGCTGGAAAAATAGCATGATGGTGCTAAAATCTCAATGTGACACGAAGTCAGGTAAGATTAGATGCCAAAGAAATAATGAATGAAAATTTAAAAGATATCCTTTTAAAGATGTCATGCAACAGAACTTTAGTGAAATACAAACTCTAAAAATAAAAATATTTGAAGATTGAGTTTTCTACTCTAGCAAAAAAAACAAAAACTGCCTTAAATATCTATTATTATTATTTTTTGTATTAATAATATCAACTTAGAATTGTACAGTGCCTTTGTAATCAGTTTTGTTTTTCCTTTACAGGCCACATAGATGCCAACAATACCACCGTGACTGTGTGTGTTGTTGTTGCTGCCATCATCATAATCCTCGTTATAGGTTATATTCATCATCGAACGAAACATAAAAGTAAGTCCAAGCAAGTATTTATCAAGATATTGCAAAAGTAAATAAATAAAAAAATCGTCAAAATACTTGTTGTTGCAAAATACATTGCTTGTTATTATTAACCCCGCAAATGTGGCTTTTCTGTGAAGCACTTTGATGTACCAGAGACTTTTAAATGTGCTATAGAAATAAAATTGAAACTGAAACTTTTGCCAACGTACTTTACTAATCCCAACTATGAGTGACCACTGTTTCCATTCCACGCTTTGCCTTGCTGAAATGTGAAATCTACATGCATGTAGAAATTGCAACAACAGCAGAGGGAGATATTTTATTTCAAGCCAACATGAAAATAATTATCTGAAAGCATTTAAATGGACATTATTAATACATTTACACGTGTATACATATATTAAGAACCCTGGAATGTACTTCATCATACCTTTTTCCTCACTACTGACTTTGTTGCTTTAAATATTTTATCTTATTCTGCTGGTACTGCAGCGTTCGCATAAAGTAATGAAACTTCTGCATGTGTGTCTTTTTTACACTTTGGAAAGGCGAAGCTTGAAATGGACGCAGTGGACTGGTGTGTCTATTACATGCTCTGCCGTGATATCAGGTTGGAGTGCCATGCCAGGTCTAGTTTATGTGTGAGAATTCAATTATTTTGATAAAATTTGGATTTAATGTAATATCAGCTGAAATGACTTAGGAATGCAGAATAATAGAAATCGTCAGTTAAAGCCTGCAAAGAAAAATATAAGTTAAAGAAAATCACTACATATTTATTTATTCATGTCTGACCACCAGATACCAGGGAAACCATTGAAAACACAGTGTATGCAGTTCCTGAGGTAAGTGTGGTAAATGAGATTTGACTTAGGTAGAAGCAAGCAGCCTCTAACTGACACATATTTGTGTTACTGGTCACACTACGTGTTTTTGCTCAGGTGCTTTGAACTCAGTCGCTCTGCTGAATCTTTTGATGTTCCAGTGTGAACAGTTGCATCTGGGACGCTGCAATCTCGCGATTGCGCCTCCGGCTGAGCCGATGTCCACATCGGATGGGAGGAAAGCATGGGAGGCGTTGGGTGAGGGCGTATCAGTATCAGTGTACGTGTGTGCGTCTGTGTGGGGATGTGTATCCTGTGTTCAGCCTGAGAGAGTGTCCTTTCGACTATTAGGTGAAAATCAACAGTCCGCAGCCTATGCAGGTGGCCTTGTGGAATAGGGCAAGAGAGTCAGTTCGTTCTTGGTATTGTATCTCTGGGAAGAATTGTTGTTGTTCTCCTCGGCATCAACCTTCAAGCATTGTCCAGCTGGCGCCGTCGGGGTGGGGGTGTTGTAAATGTTGTTTTGGGATGAACAAACTGTATCAATTTTACAGTTGTTCTTAATGTCCATCACTGGTCTCCTGTTGTATCATCTGTTTTAGAACCGTGAGCTCCTCCAAGATCTTTCCCATATTGCGTTCAGTAAGAACAGTCTGAGTACTCACAGCTCTTCCCGCATTTTCGATAATAGCGGCCAGCCTTGTGGGGTTTTGAAAGGCATTCACCGCTTTCTTCAATTTCCGATAAGCCAGGGCCAAGCCAGCTCCGATCAGCAAGAACCCCGTTATCACGGTTCCGAACAGGTAGATGTCTTCAATGTCCTCAATAGACAGTCCAACCAGGCACACAACGTGCCACTTCTGCCACTCGTCCATCGATTATCCAGCAGGGAACGTCCCTCCAGGACACTTGGGCTCTCCCGAACCCAGGCTTCTCGTCGAGAATAGAGTGCCAATTGCATTGACAAATATCCAGTTATAAGAACAAGTGACACAAGCAAATGTCATAGTTTGGTTACTAACTGGACAACTAGAGGAAGGACAGAAAGGCTATTAACTATTAACTGAAACAAACAGCCAAAAAAAAGGCTGTGGCACCCTCCAGCCTTAGAATAACCCACACTTGATTGTTCTATTCAGCTGTCGGAAGCATGGAAAAACATGGAAAAAATAAAAAAGACTCCCCTCACTGGTGAATCACCAGCACAAAGCAAAACTAACAATTTCATCTGAAACTTAAAAGTTAAACAGGGAGGACAGCCAAAAAAACAAAAAACAACAACAAAAAACCCCCCCCCACAGGCCACAAATCCAACCCAGCAGTACCATTACAACATCTTCCCTTCGCCTCCAGGCAGCTGTAGACAGTTTTTCAGTGGAAGAACATGAAATGTAGTATTAATTTTGGCAGCAGGTAGTTTTAAAAGAAAAGCTTTTGCATTGATGATTTTCTTCGTTCCGAAGGGTCCAGTATACCTGGGTGAAAGTTCTTAGTGACACAAAAAATGAGTGACGAAAATCTTCTGAAAACAGAGACAACTGTTACTTCAACAGAAGGTTGGTATGGAAGTAAAGAATGAAAGGAAGAGAGACCAGCTACACCAGAAGTTAGAGCATTGTGTGCATATTCTATCCATGTATAAAACAGCTTCAAACCCTTAATTTAGTCTTTCAGTTTGGACCTGATTTGAAATGATCTTTTTCAGAATACAAATCTACAGTGAAGATAACGCTGTTGCCTTGTGATCAAAGTAAGCAGGAGACAAGGTCTGAAGTTATGTGAGTCAGCAAGGACTGTAACTAACCTGAGGTGGGTTAGGAAACAGTTTTATTTCTAGCAAAAATATTTGTGGGTGTCCTTATCTAGAGTGGTCCACCAAGTGGCAGGTGAACTTGGCAGTGTGGGCCCAATGGATAATCCATGAGTGTATTGAGAATGACCTATAGAGTTTGCTAGGATGGGCTTGAGCTGGAATCTGGCTCAATAGATTAAACATCTGGTTAAACAAACTTTATACCTCCCAACGCACAAGATAGTGACAAAGTGGTCTCTTTAGCTGGTTAACTAGATTCGGTGGAGAACTGCTGAGACAGCATCTGATTGAATGTTTCATGAACCAGAGTGTTAGCGAAATTAAAATGACCCCAAAACAGTGACTATCTAGCCTGCCTGGAGTTTAATCATTAGATTTTGCAAGAATGATATACTCCTGTGGCCAGTCTGATGCTTGCCCCCTTCATCCAGTGCCTCCAGTCCTCCAGAGCTATCTTCCCAGCTAATAGTGCATGGTCTAAGATATAGTAATTCCTTTATGTGGAAGACAGACAGTGGGAGAAAAAGACACAGTGGTGGAGTTTAGCTTTAGAGCCAAATTACCTCAGCCACAAATTGCTAGTGTAGGTCTAGTGCTGAGTTGAAGACTCTCCCTAATTCTTGTAAATTATTCTTAGCCTCTGAAGTGCACTTGCAGGTCATTGCACTGTTGATTAAGAATATCTTAAAAGTATGTGTTGAACACATTTTAATAAAATGTATTTGGATAAAAAAAATTATTGTAATTTTCTTTTGCAGTCATGGATACAGGTGATCTTTTGTTAATCACAGTAAAATTCCTGCTTATGTTAATGGCACTATTTACAAATAAAGTCTTTCTATTAAGTCTGAAGCTATCTATAATTTATTTTCCAGGTTATCCGAACAACACCACCCATGGAACAGAGTCCAATCAGTGATACTTCTCCAACATCCACCTATAGCTTTGTGAGACCTCACTCTGGACCCAACAGATCCACTGAGGCCAGAAGCAAAGCTTTGCCCGAGAGCTTGTATGCCCAGGTAGAAATTCATCCCAGATCCTAAAATCTCTTCAGAAAGCTTGAAACCTGGATCCCCCGTAGCCGGTTACCAAGATTACGTGAAGTACCCTCAGAAGGTCTACTCGATGATGTTAATGCAGCACTACGGATGATACCTACAGCCACGCTTACCGAGACTAACAAGCTGATCTACAATACGGCAGCAGTGATCAGTGAGATGCTTGTGAGACTGCTTTGAACAGCACACGAAGGACCTTCATCTGGTGGTTCTTCTTCTCCTTTAGTTTGCACCGAAACACTTTCCCTCTGCTTGGAGTGGATATATAAGATTGTGGGGTGTTTCTGATTACAGACCTTACGTTTCTATGGAGAACCACAAGAGTCACACGCATCGAAATAAAGAATTCTGTGCTTAAATATTGAATTGTAGAATGAATTCTGCATTTGTAAATTCATTTTTTGAATTCCAGTTTAATAAACTGATTTTCAAAATGCTTTTTAAAAACTTCATTTCAAAAACGTTTTTTGAATTTCAATTTAATAAAGTGATTTTCTAAATGCTTTTTAAAATGGCGATTCCACTCCTCATTTCAAAATCCATTTCCCTTTCCTGTTCGCTCAGGAAGTTCTGCATGTGTGTCCATGTCATGTCATTCTTTGGAGAGACAAAGTGTGAAATGGATGCACTGGACCAGCATGTCTATTATGCCTTTATGCATTCATAGTTCTTAAAAACTCCATCTTATCATCTCTTGTATTACCTGCATGGGTTGATCATTATTTACACTGGGACCAATAGTTCCGATTAACCACTAGCCAATCAGAATGCTTAGCAGTCCCCCCTGCCTCTATAATCAAGAGCTCAGTCTGATGATATAGTTGCAGAACATAAATCTGAGGGACTATAAGCGGACTAATGTTGCATTCATGGAAAGTACATTTGTTTTGTGAAAACTCTGTTTCATATTTTATGTTCTGAGTTAATTAGATCAGGAAAGCGGAGCCATGCTTGACACCGTGTTATTACTGCCAATGTAAGAACAAACTACTTTGTTACAGGTAACAGGTAAGAACAGAGTCTGTTAGCACTGCTTCACTATTTCAGCTAATAAGTTTATTGTCATTGGGGAGAGCTTATGATTTATAATAATATACCAGTTTTACTGCCAACACCTATATGTAAAACCTAAAAACACATGTCAGAGGCTAAGTGGGTGATTTTGAGTCGAGTATAGTGCAAGGTTGATGTTAAAATGATACATTTTTTTGGGTGTAAATATGATTCTGTCTTCATTATCCCATATATGACTGTGTTCCTGTGATTTTGACCCTGTATGTCTGCTTCCTGCCTTACAGTAGGTGCGGCCTTTTTTTGTGTAGCTGACTCTTCTCTGCAATTAGTGAGCTGTGCATTGTGGCTGCTTACTCCTGCTTTGTGAAGAGGAGCGTATGTTGATGATTTAACATCACTTTTATGTTTAGTAGCCAACTCTTGTCCTCCTGAAATACAAAGGGACCCCAAATCTTCTCAAAGTGAGCTGCAATCCACTAAAGAAAACCATGGAAGTCCAAATCCTTCTCAGAATTATAAGACAATATGGCAATGCTGATGATGAGCAGAGATGGAGCTGAATCCAAGTCCACTTTGTAAGTCCACCTTCTGGGCAGCCATCAATCCATCTGGTGTCTCTGCTGGAATTTCCAACTGTGAGCTGATTTCCAATTTTATGTCCAATTATATATTATAAAGAATAAAGTTACAACTAGCAAAAACACACAAAGAAAAGTATCACTTCTACCTCTTCTTAAAGTCAATAAAGAGTTCTTTTACTGATGGCATGAAGTTGGCTTTAATGTTAGTTGTAAGATCTTGGGGTTGTTACAGCTTCACCTTGATCACAAACTACGCCACCGTCGAACTAAAACATAACATAAAATCCAATGAGATAGTAAGACGAGTGAATTAAAGACATAAAATGATCTATATAACATACAAACATACCTCGCTGGCTGACCCATGCTTTGAGGCAGAAATGAGCACTTTACAGATACTTTTAAGAAACAACTTTCTCTGAATTAAATTGGCTTCTCTTGCTTCAACTTGCCATGCTCACATATCAACATGGGCGTGCATCTCCCTCAGGTGCACCAGTGGAACCAAAATGCAGTACAATAGTTCCTACATGAGAATTTTCACAATAAATGACCTAATGGCATATAAAATATGCATAGTGCAAAACAAAATACATTAACTGAAAGTAAGGCAGTAAAACTCCCACCAAATCACAAAACTATTGTGATTTCTACTTAAACATTATAATAGGAACATGTTTACAATTTAGCATTTATTCTGCTTCTAGCAATAACACAGTTTTGTGTACTGGCCTATCAAGGTACACTGGTTTGACAGTCCTTTTGCCATCCTTATCCAAGGTTGAATCACTGAGCAAAAGCTTAACCTTTCTAATTCTTCCATCTGCACTTGGATATATCTCTGTTACTCTTGCCAATTTCCACTTGTTCCTTGGAGAATTGTCCTCTTGGAGAATAACAATGTCATTCACCTTTGCATTCCTTTTATCTCTTTGCCAGATTTGTCTCTGTTGAAGATTGAGAAGGTATTCCTTTTTCCACCTAGTCCAGAATTCATTGGCCAAAAACTGAACTTGGCGCCATCTCCTTCTTAGGTACAGGTCCTGGCTCACAAATTCACCAGGAGGAGGTAGAATAACACTGGACTTCATCATGAGAATATGATTCGGTGTAAGAGGCTCTAAATTTGGATCATTTAGGTTCTCTACTGTTAATGGCCTGCTATTCACAATAGCCATGACTTCATAAAGAAATGTTCTGAGTGAGGAATTGTCAAGTCTCTTAGAAGTGTGATCCAAAATAGAAGTTAAAACACTTCTAATAGTTCTAATTTGCCTCTCCCAAACACCTCCCATGTGACTTGAAGAGGGGGTGTTCAGAACAAACTCACATCCATATTGTTTCAACTGTTCTTTGTCAAAATCCTTTAGTGCATTCAAAAACTCTCCCTTAGCACCAACAAAATTAGTACCTTGGTCACACCTAATTTGTCTTACATGTCCACGAATAGAAATAAAACAACGTAATGCATTCATAAAGGCATCAGTGGTAAGGTCATCCAGCATTTCAATATGTATTGCCCTAGAACACATACATGTAAAAAGAAGACCATACCTTTTAAGTTCTTTTCTACCCTCTTTTACATAAAAAGGTCCAAAACAGTCAATGCCACAGTAGGAGAATGGGGGTGTTGCTTCCATTCTATCCTCTGGCAGATCGGACATCCGTTGATCTTGAGTATGTCTCCTGTACTTTCTGCAGGTTGTGCACTTGTAGATGTGAGAAGCAACTGCATTGCTGCATCCTGTGATCCATAGTCCATTGGAGCGCAGCTCGTTGACAGTTATTCCTCTTCCTTGATGTTGCACCTTTTCGTGGTAGTGTTTAATAAGTAAAGACGACACATGACTTGATTTGGGAATAATGGCAGGATGTTTGATATATGGGTGCAGAGTTGCTCTTGTTAAACGTCCTCCCACCCTGAGCACTCCCTGCTCATCAACAAATGGACTTAGGCTGTACAGCTTGTGTGTCTTATCCTTCAGTTGAATGTCCTTTCCTCTAGTTAAGTCCTTGATTTCTTTGCTGAATGTGTTTTCTTGTGCAAGTTTTATTATGAACAGTTCTGCCCTTTGTCTGTCCTCAACACTTGTGTTTTCACCCTTTGTTTGGGTGAGTCCTTTAAAATCCTTCACAAATTTCTGTAGACGAGCAATAGCTTTAACCGCTCTTCTCCAGTCTGAGAATTTGGTGAGACGGTCTAGTATTGTTCTCCTTTCTTCTACTTTGGTGTTGAACACATGTACTGTTTTTAGCTCTGGATCATTGGGCTTGACTTCCGTAAACTTGCCATTTTCAACAGGTAGCTCGCTTTGCCACAAAAACTCTGGACCTTTAAACCAGTTAGAGTTGAGTAGCTGTTGGACACTGAGTCCTCTTGATGCATGGTCTGCAGGATTACTTTCAGATGGTACATGATGCCACTGTCGTGGGTCTGTGAGTGACCGTATCCTTTGAATCCTATTTGCCACAAACACGTGAAATCGCTTTGCATCATTATTCACGTATCCCAACACTACCTTGGAATCTGTCCAGAAGTGTTCTTCAAGATCACTTATCTCCAGTTCATTTCTTAACATTGCACTTGTTCTTGCGGCAACTACTGCAGCCGTTAATTCAAGTCTAGGGACAGTAGTGACCTTGGTTGGGGCTACACGTGCCTTTCCCAGGACTAGGGCACAATGAACATCACCCTTTGATGTTACTGTTCTTAAATAACTGCACTCTCCGTAGCCTGTCACACTAGCGTCTGAAAAATGGTGTAATTCACACTGTGCAATGTCTGTGTTTGCAGGTAAGACATGTCTTTGAACTTTCACCTTTGACAGGTTTTGAAGCTCTAGGAGCCAGGATTCCCACTGTGTGCTGAGATCATTTGAGAGTGGCTCGTCCCATCCAACTTTCTCTTGACATAACTGTTGCAGGATTTGCTTTCCTCTTAGGATGAACGGTGCCACAAATCCCAGTGGGTCATACACTGATGCTATTGTGCGCAGAATTCCTCTTCTTGTCATTGGGTGCTCTTTTACAGTTATTCTGAACTGAAATTCATCAGCAGAAACGCACCACTGAACACCAAGAGCCCTTTCCATTAATGGCTCTCCAAGTGCCAAATCTAAATCCTTAATACTTTCTGCACACTCTTCTCTCGGCAATGACTTTATCACATTTTCACTTTTTGATATGAACTTGTGTAATCTTAGTTTACCTGTGCTACACAGTTCTCTTGCCTCTTGGACTAGTTTTATGGCTTCTGACTCTGACATAACACTAACAAGTCCATCATCTACATAAAAGTTCCTTTGAATGAACCTTACAGTGTTTGGAGTGAACTTTCCCTCACCTTGCGTGGCTAGATGTTTTAACCCAAAGTTGGCACAGCCAGGAGAAGAAGCAGCGCCAAAGAGATGAACCTTCATTCGAAAGACTGAGGGTGGAACGCTTAGGTCACCATGCTCCCACCACAGGAAGCGTAAGTAGTCCTGGTCTTGAGGTGTTACATGAAACTGGTGAAACATGCGTTCCACGTCACACATTACAGCAACGGAGCCCTTCCTGAACCTACAGAGCACTCCCACCAAAGTGTTTGTGAGGTCAGGCCCTGTAAGCAGGTGCATGTTCAGCGAAGTGTCTTGATATTGTGCAGAGCAGTCAAAGACTACACGTATCTTGCCGGGCTTCTGAGGGTGGTATACCCCATGGTGGGGGATATACCAAACAGGTGTATTACAGAGTTCTTTCTCCGGCACTTTCTCTGCGTCACCACATGCTATCATGTTCGCCATAAAATTTGCATAGTCTGTGTAGTACCTTTGGTCCCTTTTGAATCTGCGTTCGAGACTACTTAAACGTTGCATTGCACTTGGCATGTTATTGGGAAGATCTGGCCTGTCGCCCTTGAAAGGCAGTGGCATTTCATAGTGTCCATCTAGCTTTTGCTTTATTCCTTCTTGTAGCTTTGTAATAAAGCGGACATCTTCTTGCGAAATGCTTGTCTCTTCCACTGCTCTCTCTGTAAAGTCTGATTCAAGTGCTTTGATTACATCTGGAAATGTTACTTCCTTTACTTGTGTCTTGCAGATGTAATGAACCTTATTCTTTAGTTTTGTGGGTGACTCAGTCTCTGGTATAACTTGTTTTACAATGATGCCGTGACTTACTCCAATTACATCATTACCTGTATCACATGAATCACAGTAGCTGATGATGCTCCAACCCAAATCTGTTCTCTGAGCGTATGGCTGGTTTTCTTCACCACATACGACCTCTCTGGGCATTAAGGCTTGTGTGCAGTTGTACCCTAAAAGGAGTCCTATATCACAGTCCAAAGGGGGTGCAATATGTTCAGTGAGATGCTCCAAATGTGACCATGCCCTTGCAGTGTCTGGAGTAGGAATATGACTACGATTAGCGGGTATAAAGTCCCGTGTGTAAACAACTGGTACAGTGAGTTTCTTCTTGGAAAACAGTCCTCTTATTTGCAGAGCTTCAAGTTTTGTGCACAGTAGTTTTCTTGGATGACATTGTAGATAGATTGAGCTTAACTTGAGTTTTGGTTGTGTCCAAGTTATTTGCTACTTCATTAAGAATAAATGAAGAATCACTCTGTGTGTCCAGCAGAGCGTAGATCAGTACTTCTTTACTTGGCTCATTTTGTGTGGATACGTAGACTGGGACTATTGCGGATGTCTGTGTGTTTTTACTTTCATGAGTCACTCTATTAGATGTGGTCTCATTGACTATGTCTTGTGACTGTGTTACCTGATGCTGGGTTTCCTTCAGTTCACTTACTTGTTGCTCTTTAGGTGGTTCTTTCTTTGCCTCTTGTCTTTGTCTTTCTTCATGCAGGCATGTAGGATGCCGTTTTGAGCATGTGTTGCATGTCATCTTGTTGCTGCAGTTCTTGGAGAGATGGCCACTATTTAAACAGCCAAAACATAATTTTTCACCTTGAATGAATTTGACTCTCTCAGCGACAGGTTTCTCAGTGAACTTACGACACTTGTGTAAGCCGTGTCCTGCTCTTTTACAAAACACACAAGAGACCATGCTTCTTTCAGTAGAGTTAGTTGTGAAGATTTTCACTGTATCTTGTCTCTTAGGAATGGGTGTAGGTTGAGGTTTTGTCTTTGGTTGGTCAAAGTCACTTTGTCTTATGGCTTGGTATGATGTAATGGGATTACATGCGATACTTGCCTCCATTGACAGGAATGTTACAAAGTAACTGAAACGTGGGAATCTTTTGTGCTCCAGCTGGTACTCTGTAGCCTTTCGGTTCCACCTGTTACTTAACCAATCTGGTAGTTTAGCAGCAAGTCTTTGATTCTCAATGCCATCATTGAGAATGTTCAGATTCTCATTATTAGTCATTGCAGATTGGCAGCTTTGTAAAAAGTCCACAAACTTTCTTAGCTCTGCACTATCTTTTCCTGTGACCTTTGGCCAGGTGTGTAACTTGTCTCTAAAGGCCTTAGCAATGACAAAAGGCTCTCCATAACGTTCATTGAGCATATTCCATGCTGCCTCATATGAGTCTTCAGAGCCAATCAGAAAATAGCCATCTAAGGCTTCCTTAACACAGCCACCAACATACTTCTGTAGAAAAAATATCTTTTCGGCAGTGGGAATGTTCTTTCTCTCTATTAGAGTCTGGAAGGACACCTTCCAATGCTTAAACTTAAGTGGATCCCCACTAAATACCGAGGGCTCTGGAATAGGCAGTCTATTAGCTGACATAGCTTCTGCCAAAACCTCTACAAGCTCACCTGTGCTCTCATAAGTGACATTTGACTCTCTTCGTGGTTGTAAGGGTTGATTAGCAGTATTCTTGGACTCTGTTACCTGTAAGTTTGCAGGGTTTAGAGTGACTCTTTCTTGCTTTACTGAAATGTAGTCTTCCTCATAAACTTGTAGTTTTGCCTGTGCTGCCTTGAGTCCTTTCAGATTTTCCAATCTTTCAATTTCTCTTCTTAAGTCCTCAACTGACCTTCTCCTCGCAGCACTTTCCTCTTGTTGTCTCTTTATCAGGGCCGCTTTCTCCTTTTCTCTTTGTAACTTGCGCTCAGTTTCCTCCTTTTCCTCTAGGAGACGTTGTGACATTGCAGCAGCTGCTTGCTCTGCGAATATGCGTTTGTCTTCTTCTTCAAGCATTTGCATTCTTTCTCTGTACTTCTCTTGTTCTGTCATTATCTGAAGCACAGCCTTTGTGGCTTCATACTCTGCTGCAGCTTCTTGTCTTTTGGAGGAGGAACCATTAGAAAGAACTGTATTGGCTTTAAATGGACTATGAACTGAGACACTAACAGAGCTAGAGGATGTAAATATAGAGCCTGCATCAGGCCATACAATCTCCTCTTGAGTTTCTCCTTTAATGTGACATTTGATCTTTTGCAAAACTACTGTAGTCACTGATGTGCATTTGTCTAGCTTGGAACGCATATCATGAGGTGGTCCATCCATTGCTCTGTATTCATCATAAATATCATTAAGCTCGGCTGCTTCTCTTTGTACAACGTTCATGTGACCTTCAAGAATGTCAGGTGGATCTCCTTTTATAACAGATTTTTTTGCCACCTTGATTAATGCTTTCCATCTGTCATAAATACTGTCAAAGCGACGTTGCAACCCTTGTAACCTTTGATTATGGAATTCTTTTCCCTTTTCTGTGAGCATGCGAGACCTTTCACTTCTACGTTGCTCTATTTGCACTGTTTGCTCTAAAGAGGTTTCATCCACTTGCCTTGCAGCTTGTTCTGCACTGGGAGCTTCAATTTCTGTCTCATTTGTGTCTGACATTTTGTTTTTCTTGTAATGCATTTATTTGTTGATGCAAAATCTCCCTTTAACTTGACTTGAGTAATGAATTGTGAACTTGGGTGCATTAATTCCCTTCTTGCTAACTTGTGATGCTGTTGTTGTCAGGCTTAACACAGTTCCTTATTGTTTCTCCTTCCTTGTGTCATCTTTCCAAACATAAACTTTAATGTCTGGCTTCTGGACATCTTTATGAAGAAGCAACTGTGAACCTGTGTGTCCATTAACATTTGCAGCAGCTTGGTCCTTGGTGCACTGGCACGATGTTGCCACCAGGGGGCCGGGAATCATGCAGGTCCGAGTTCGACTATCACTTCTACCTCTTCTTAAAGTCAATAAAGAGTTCTTTTACTGATGGCATGAAGTTGGCTTTAATGTTAGTTGTAAGATCTTGGGGTTGTTACAGCTTCACCTTGATCACAAACTACGCCACCGTCGAACTAAAACATAACATAAAATCCAATGAGATAGTAAGACGAGTGAATTAAAGACATAAAATGATCTATATAACATACAAACATACCTCGCTGGCTGACCCATGCTTTGAGGCAGAAATGAGCACTTTACAGATACTTTTAAGAAACAACTTTCTCTGAATTAAATTGGCTTCTCTTGCTTCAACTTGCCATGCTCACATATCAACATGGGCGTGCATCTCCCTCAGGTGCACCAGTGGAACCAAAATGCAGTACAATAGTTCCTACATGAGAATTTTCACAATAAATGACCTAATGGCATATAAAATATGCATAGTGCAAAACAAAATACATTAACTGAAAGTAAGGCAGTAAAAAAAAGAATGATTTAGCACTTTAAGCCTTTTCACCCTCTCTCAGATGTAATGAGAAGTGAACCGAACTTCAGTCTCTCTCGATCCGACCGTTCTCCACATCAACACACAAACCTGCTTTGTAATTTCCGAAATTGCACGTACTTGATTCCTCTCAGTCCCTTTCACCAGAGATGCGAGTGACGGATGTGAGAATAGGGTATTAGAAAAGGAACTTAACAAGTACATTCTGGCAAATGACTCAGTTGACTGGAATCAAACTGTCACGTGTGCAGGGAGTGTTTCTGCTTTCTCAAACCAAAGCTGTGAAACTGTGTCAAGATGGAGCGGATTGTGTTTTTTGGCGCTTTTTTATGGCTGTGTTCATGTGAAGTAAATGGTAAGAACCAACTTTTATACTAACTGGATGAACTCAATTTATCTTTAAACCTAGGTGTTACCTCAGCACTAATGAATATTGTAAAATTTGTACAGCAAATAAAGCCATTAGGGAATGAGAGGAAGAAAGTCAAGTAAATGTAATATAAATAAATAATAAACAGGTATTGACATGTTTTATATAAGCTGACAGGCACATCATAATACATCAAATGGAGAGAGAGCATTTCTGAAAAAAAAGTCCAGAGCGCTGTAAGCTACTAGGAAGTTTGGGCTAACCGTTACAAAAGTGGTTTTGTCACAGTCCTGGGTGCGTTTGTTTTAAGTTCAACATTTTAATTTAATTTTGTATTATATGTCAAGAGTTTTGTTTTCTAGATGTATTTTATGTTTTGTTTCCCAGCATTATAAAGCTAATTTCTGTTTAGGTTGTGTTTTTTTCTTTCATAATGTTTTAATCATAAAAGACATAATTTGTTCATGTCTCCCCAAGAACACTTATTGCTTATAGTTAATTCCCAGTTTTCCTGCTTTTCTGTGTTCCGTGTGTATGTTAAGTCAGTGTTCCTGTGATGTTCCAGTATTAAGTTACTTGCTTGCCTTCAATTTAGTTGTATTTTCCTTGTCTCATCCTCTTTTCAGAGGATCTGCAGTACACATCATCATATACAGTGAGGTTGTTGTGCTGTTAGTAAGATAAATGACAGAGAGTGACGTTTAGGTAGTTGCTCTGTATTATGTTGGTACATGACGCAGACGAAAATAAAAGAAGAGGGATCACTTCCTTAAATTTAGTTTCAGTATTTTTAGATGGACGCGTACAGATTTGTTTTCCTCACAGTGTTGTATAGTTCATTATTATACATTTAAATACTATTTAAAAGTGATCAGATAAAAATTGGGAATATTTTAAATATTTTGTTTCTATCCCAAATGTCAGGACAAGTTTGATTTAAAATAATGAGGAAGTTCCCCAAAAACACAACTGAAGGTTTTGGAGAGACAATGTGACAGAACAGTTGTGGAAGTAACATTAAATAACTAATAGCAAACAGACTAAATCTTTCCCTGCTGCTCAGAACTCTGGATAGTCATGTTTTGTGAAGTTTAATACATTTAAGCACATCTCTGTATAATAGTGTGAAAGTGAAACCATCCCTTTTAGTGGGAGCAGGTTTTCTTACTATGAAGCCCATATAATTTGCTTGGCACCACCTCAACTGACTGGAGGCATTTTCCACGTTTCACTTCTCAGATTGGGCAGGAGAATATAGAGAAGTGAATCTGATATAGTTTTAGGTGAATTAAATGCTATTTCACATTATTTTAGTGATATTAAGTTGACATCACCTTCTGTCATTAAATTACATTTGACCATATGTAGCTTTATGCACATAATTCTGATATTTGTGTTGTTGTTCTTTTTTTAATTCTGTTTTTTTTTATATTTCTGTTCTTTTAGAGTTCCAATATGTGTTTGTGCGGCATGGAAAGGACTTACATCTGGATATAGGGAGATCTGTTGTACTAGACAAAAAAACAGATTTGATCTGGAAATTTAATAAAACTAACAATGTAGCTAAATGTGCTTTTAATAATGATCCAGTTGTGTTTGACAAATATGAAGGAAGGGCTGAGCTCTTCAGGCAAAATTACTCTTTGCTATTAAAGAATGTACAACACAGTGACAGTGGAGATTATACTGCACTCATGGTTAGCAATGTAGACCAAAAGGTAGCTGAATACAAGGTCATAGTCCAAGGTAGGTTTCTTTTTTAATCTTTTTGAAATATTGGTCAGGCATAGACCTGTTTTAAATCTCTTCATGCCTGTTCCTCTTCAGATGCAGTTTCTCCAGTTAACCTGACAGTGGACTCTGTGTCTGGCAGCTCAGAGTCCTGTGTCCTTGCTGTGACCTGCAGCACAGTGGATTCATCCATCCACCATTCTTTTAGATGTGATGACAAAAACTGCTCTCAGGTCAAAGAAAAACCCACAAACTATTCATCCTCTTTCATTGTCTACCGCCACCAAGACTTTATCCTGTGTAATCACAGCAACCAAGTTAGCTGGGAATACAATAAGATCAAGTTTGACTGCAAGGCAATTACAGGTAAGTATAAGAGCAATGATGATATGAATGATAAATCCAGTTTAATATATTATTCAGCTCAGTGAAAAAAGAATTGTAAACCTAAAAGCATTTTTTTTATCCTAAGGATTTTATCTGTTTCCAGGTGAAACAAAAGGTTTCTGTTAAATTCTCAAAACCTCCCATGTTTGGTTTGGTGAAGAATTCTACAGGGAGTGCAGAATTATTAGGCAAATGAGTATTTTGTCCACATCATCCTCTTCATGCATGTTGTCCTACTCCAAGCTGTATAGGCTCGAAAGCCTACTACCAATTAAGCATATTAGGTGATGTGCATCTCTGTAATGAGAAGGGGTGTGGTCTAATGACATCAACACCCTATATCAGGTGTGGATAATTATTAGGCAACGTCCTTTCCTTTGGCAAAATGGGTCAAAAGAAGGACTTGACAGGCTCAGAAAAGTCAAAAATAGTGAGATATCTTGCAGAGGGATGCAGCAGTCTCAAAATTGCAAAGCTTCTGAAGCGTGATCATCGAACAATCAAGCGTTTCATTCAAAATAGTCAACAGGGTCGCAAGAAGCGTGTGGAAAAACCAAGGCGCAAAATAACTGCCCATGAACTGAGAAAAGGGCAGCACGGTGGCACGGTGGTTAGCACTGTTGCCGCACAGCAAGAAGGTCCTGAGTTCAATTCCAACATCAGGCCGGGGTCTTTCTGTGTGGAGTTTGCATGTTCTCCCCGTGTTTGCGTGGATTCCCTCCGGGTACTCCGGCTTCCTCCCACCGTCCAAAGACATGCAGCTTGTGGGGATAGGTTAATTGGATAATCCAAATTGTCACTAGGTGTGAATGTACGAATGAATGTGAGTGCGAATGGTTGTCTGTCCCTGTGTGTTGGCCCTGGGACAGACTGGCGACCTGTCCAGGGTGTACCCTGCCTCTCGCCCTATGACAGCTGGGATAGGCTCCAGCGCCCCCCGTGACCCTGAAAAGGATAAGCAGAAACGAATGGATGGAACTGAGAAAAGTCAAGCGTGCAGCTGCCAAGATGCCACTTGCCACCAGTTTGGCCATATTTCAGAGCTGCAACATCACTGGAGTGCCCAAAAGCACAAGGTGTGCAATACTCAGAGACATGGCCAAGGTAAGAAAGGCTGAACGATGACCACCACTGAACAAGACACACAAGCTGAAACGTCAAGACTGGGCCAAGAAATATCTCAAGACTGATTCTTCTAAGGTTTTATGGACTGATGAAATGAGAGTGAGTCTTGATGGGCCAGATGGATGGGCCCGTGGCTGGATTGGTAAAGGGCAGAGAGCTCCAGTCCGACTCAGACGCCAGCAAGGTGGAGGTGGAGTACTGGTTTGGGCTGGTATCATCAAAGATGAGCTTGTGGGGCCTTTTTGGGTTGAGGATGGAGTCAAGCTCAACTCCCAGTCCTACTGCCAGTTTCTGGAAGACACCTTCTTCAAGCAGTTGTACAGGAAGAAGTCTGCATCCTTCAAAAAAAACATGATTTTCATGCAGGACAATGCTCCATCACACGCGTCCAAGTACTCCACAGCGTGGCTGGCAAGAAAGGGTATAAAAGAAGAAAAACTAATGACATGGCCGCCTTGTTCACCTGATCTGAACCCCATTGAGAACCTGTGGTCCATCATCAAATGTGAGATTTACAAGGAGGGAAAACAGTACACCTCTCTGAACAGTGTCTGGGAGGCTGTGGTTGCTGCTGCACGCAATGTTGATGGTGAACAGATCAAAACACTGACAGAATCCATGGATGGCAGGCTTTTGAGTGTCCTTGCAAAGAAAGGTGGCTATATTGGTCGCTGATTTGTTTTTGTTTTGTTTTTGAATGTCAGAAATGTATATTTGTGAATGTGGAGATGTTATATTGGTTTCACTGGTGAAAATAAATAATTGAAATGGGTATATATTTGTTTTTTGTTAAGTCGCCTAATAATTATGCACAGTAATAGTCACCTGCACACACAGATATCCCCCTAAAATAGCTAAAACTAAAAACAAACTAAAAACTACTTCCAGAAAACATTCAGCTTTGATATTACTGAGTTTTTTGGGTTCATTGAGAACATGGTTGTTGTTCAATAATAAAATTATTCCTCAAAAATACAACTTGCCTAATAATTCTGCACTCCCTGTAGTGTAGTTAAAATAGTGTTTCCTTTACACGAGCCATAACCCACCGATTTTTCAAGAATTTGTAAAAAGTTTTCACATCCTGTTCTGATCCTGAATACCATGCATTTACCATTATGGTCTACCCTCACTCTGAAGAAGCAAACATACCATTTTGTGTATGCAAATGTTTGTGACACTAATTTGTTGTAGTAAATTGGCACAGCAGTAGATATGTTGTTTAATAGTTGTTATTAGAAAAAAATCACAATCATTGAAAAACTCTAACAGAGCTCAAAAGGTTTTAAACCAACATTTGCAAAAGTTGAGTGCTTGGGCTTTTAGAGCAAGTCTACCCTAACAAATAATTGTACAGTTATTGCAATGTTTCTAACCGTTTCTAACCCAATGTTTTGGTTTCTTTACAGTTCACAGCAGAGCCACCCTAATTCAGATTTCAACTTCAGTTGGTCTCTTTCTCTTGTCTGTCTTCATTGCCCTTTGCATTGTCACAAAATGTAAGTCCCAGTCTGTTTTTAAGCAGCAACAACAGTGAATCTACACTAAATACACAGAAATCTAGCATTGTATTAAAGCATACACTTCTTGCACAAAAGCATTCCTTGTATGATTCTGCAATGCCATAAGAATGATTATAGTGCAGCTGAAATTATGTTTTGGTAAAGCAGTATAAATTTGTTTGGTATAAGGTTTTACAGATTCAGTTGTCACTTGAAACAGTGGTGGCCCAGAAAAGTCAAATGCAGTGCAACTTCAGTAAACACAAGCAAATAGAAAAATTCTGCGAAAAAAATCAAAAAAGAATTAAAATAACAAGGAAAATAATGCAAAGATCATCTTTAAGTGGGCATGAAAGACTACATGTATAAATGCTAGTTTACACCAAGTTTTCCCGGTAAAGAGACAAAGAGTGAAAATGGGCAGTATATCCTTCCCAAAAAGGTGATTCTGTTCAACTGGATGTGGGAGAAATGTTTTGTCATTCATCCAAGTAATGTCTTCAGTTTCTCACGAGACTGCCCACTTATTTCAGACTTTCCTTACCTGGATGATTGAGCATGCATCAAGAAGCAATATATCCTTGATTTGTAAACACAGAAGTTATAGTTGCAGCACGGGGCAGTACAGAAATGTCCTCTTTAAACTGATTTCTATTTTTAGTCTTATGTTGCCCTGAGTTATTGGTTGTGTTATTAGTAAGGTAACATATAATAATGTAAGTCTATTGACCGCAAACAACCAACCAACCTGATGCTGTACTGTAATGTTCTGTACTGACAGAAGATGGCGTTAAAAATTTTAAACACTTCATTTTTTTATACAGACTCTATACATGTAGTTTTTCATCTCCACTTTAAGAGAAGTAACTGTATTATTCCATTGCAGAAATCTTTGTTACATTTTGAAGGTTATTCCAGGACCAATGCACAAAACAGGAGAACTCTGTTCTACTAAATTCTGAAAAAACTATTTGTAGAGGAGCAAGCTAGAGGAGTGACAGACAAACTAAGTGTTTGTAAGTCATATGACAGTTCACAGATAAGAAGGGTGTTCAGCTAGAAAAGAACTGTGAATTAAAATATAAGATTGACGGAAGCCTACAGACACAGCAGTGTTGTGTCTGTAGGCTTCTTAGTCAGTAATGTGTAGTTCACAATGGATTTTATTTATAAAGTAAACTATATTAATAATAAGATACAGCCACTCAGTAACTCACTAAGTTTCTCACTTACCCGGAAGCATCTGCTGATTTGTACTTTATGTAACTTCCACTACAAGAATTCGTATTCATTCTATTCCACCTAAAGGAGCCCACAAAATTCTTGCATAATTGTACAATATATGATAAAATTATTTTGACAATAATATTTATCTAACATGATATTTTGGATTTTTTTCTAGAAAATCACACCGGACAAATATTGTAATCAGATTCTCTCAGGAGTGCCCTGAAGGATGATGGATGAGTTCAAACAAAACAAAATGTATTGGGTTTTTTTATTTATTTGGGTTTTGTTTGCCTTGTTTTGTTCTTTGGGGGGGGGGAGGTCTTTGTTTTTTTTAAACTGTACATTCTTTGTTCAATATCTATAAAATATTTATAGATTTGTCATAAACACTGGGATGTTGATGGACAAGAATACACATTAGATAGCAAGAAAGGAGGAGGACAGGAAAATGCAGCCTATGTAGTAGCATTGAAATGACATGTGTAAACCTAATAATACTTTTTACGTTATCACTAACAACTGTTATTGAAAAGGTTACAGTTCTAACAAATGTATTATTATTTATACTCAAATCAACAACAGTATATTTTAACTTCAAAGTAAAAGTACTGTAAGTACACTCTTGTATCATTTATCAGGTAATGTCAGTGGACTAAGGTGAATTTCATGTACAGTCTGTGAAAAAAAAAAACATTTTTTTTTAAACTTACATGGTTACATGCACTAAAGAAATTATCCTGTCACCACAAGTTTACCACACGATTTATTAAATACACCTTGGACATTTCTGTGTTGGACCCTTTTGTCTCAGTTCTTAGAATGATTTTTAATCTTTTTTTGGTGAACACATGCAAACTATAGCCTCTGTTTCCTGTTCTTAGCTGACAGGAAGGGCAAACAGTGTGGTCTGCAGCTGTAAGCCATCTGCTTCAAGTTTTGATGTGTTGTGTGTTCAGACATGTGCTTTTGCATATCTTGGTCGTAAAGGATGGCTATTTAACTAACCAGTCTAATCAAACTTCTCAAAGTGTGTAGAAAAATCTTAGTAGATCATCAGTTTATGAAGTGCTCAGACCAGCCTGTCTGGCACATTTTTGTCTTGGAAATTTATCATGTTTTTTCCTTCCCCCCCATAATCCACACAATTTCAAGTTTTTGCTTTAAGTGATCCTAATACTGTTAAAATTTCTTACCATACCTATGGGGATTGAGTCTTTCTGGAGCAAATTTCAGCTTAGTCTATATCTTAATTTAACAAATATGAAACTGTGTAAGTGAAGCAGACTACTGTTGATCCGAATCAAACTCAACATTTCCAATATTAGGTTGAACATTTTGGTACGTAGAAACATTTCATTTATTTATAATCTTTTACTGTAAAAGATTTATACAGTAGGAATACAATGTAAAAAAACAAAAAAGTGACAATGAAAGAGAAAGCTCAGAAGAGAGGAGAGTCATTCTTTGTATTTATGTCACTGTCGTCACATAGAGGTTTTAGTCTTGGGACAACCCACACAGGCTGTGTGCATCACTGCTGAAAATCTTAAATGAGGAAGTTTGTACTTCCTGATTTTCACAGAAGGTGTGAAGATGGCACGTATTTTATTTTGGGGAGTTCTTTTGCTGCTTTCATTTGAAATACAAGGTAAACACTTATTTTTACACTCTGATTATTATTATATTTTTATTAGTATTATTTTGTACACTAATATGTCAAAGTGATTCGTCTCCTTTGCTTTTTGGAATCTGGTTTTGTACTATAGCACTAAATTGTTTGTAAAAGGCAAACAACAAATGACATATAATAAATAATTGTCAGGGAGGAAGAAAGTCAAATAAATACAGTGAAAAATGAATACCAGGCAAGAAAATCGGTATTGAAATTACAATAATTACATTGCAATAAGTATGCTTTTGACATATTAACAAATGAAAAATCAGACTGATTTTCAACATCGATGTTTCTGAACTATGAATAATGGTAACATGGGGCTGGTAAGTGCTGACTATCTGCTCGATTTCTTTGTGTTATTTTTACATTCTTTTCCCAAATCAATTTGGCTGAAGTTGAATTAAAATGTAGTTTTATCCGGCCCCTTTTTCACCAGAGAGGTGACGTTCCATGTCCCAGGCTAGTCTTGGTAGGGATCAGTCCACTTCTTCTTCAGTAACTCAACAAACCATGTAGTGCAAATAAACAAAATTCCCTTAATGTTTTTTTTGATAAACGCTGAAGTACTGTACTCCACTCAAAACCAGTAGAACACAAATTCACAAAAAGTGTCTGATATTAAACCGAAAACTGAAGCAGCCATGTTCACATGTTGTAAAAAGATAATGTGTCTCTCTGTCACATAGGCATACACACACACACACACAGAGGAATGCGCACACACACAAACACACACACACGCACGCACGCACACACACGCACGCACACACACACACGCACGCACGCACGCACGCACCACGCACGCGCACGCACGCACACACACACCACCACCACGCACCACACACACACACACACACACACACACACACACAGATGTCAGTTGCTGACATCTATCTATTTAATTTGGTTTCCTCTTCTTTCCTCTTGTCAGTATCACTTCTCTCCCTCTGTCTGTGTTTCCACCCGTAACTTTGTGTTATCCATATGCAATTGTGAGCTAGAACTAGAATAAGCCACTTATTATATAATCATTTTAGAATAATTTGGACATCATTTGGCAGAACCCCTGATCAACAGGTTTATTTTTAAATGCAATGTTTTCATTACGATTTTGAAGAACAAAAGACTGTAAGAGGGAAATTTCCATGAGTGCCAGGTCAGGGTCACGTCACTCTTTTCTGTTTATACTTCCCCATTATAACTGGCTAATGCCTGCTTGTTCCACTTCTTTGGAACTACTGTAGTCTCCGTACCCAGCTGAGTTCAGAAGAAATTACTTGGCTTGAGAGCAGGGAGAAAGGGGCCAGTGTAGAGACCTCTGTGTCGTAATCTACCAAATGTATATATTTTTAAATGATTCAAATTATACATGTCATTAAACATATATATTTTTAATATATATTTCAAAGCCAGAAGTTAAAAGACAATACAATTCTGTGTCATGATTACCACAATCTGACATCATGGCACAAAGCTTTTTCTTTTTTTAACTGGAAGCCAAAAAGAGGACAGTTAGCAGGAAACTGGAGCACCAGAACTGTGAGAACTGACAGCAGAGGGGACCCAGGAAGAGCAGTCAGGGGAGAAAGGCAGGACAGGAGCAGGGGTGGCCCAGAGCTTTAAAACCATTTGCAAGTCTTCTCTTTAATGTTTCTATAATTTCCAGTGGTCATGTACTCTCAGATATGCTCTGATGAACTTAACTTCACATTGATAGTTGTATTTATTTACTTCCTCTGAAAAAAGGAAACATTAGACCAATGCATTTCTGCAGCTTCATTGCTGTGAAATTATGGTAATCATAGCAAGTAGAATCATCTACAATATTAACTCGGCTACATGAGTACCACGTTTTTGTACTGCACTCCTGCAACAATGCTTTACAAACTGCTACAAGCACAAATGCAAACATCAGGCAGACAGACTGTGGGTTTCTCTTTGGTCATCTGTGTACAAGCTTGACTGAACTTCCTCTTATAGTTAGTTTTACTGTGACAAAAACTAACAGATAAAATACTATTTCTGTATGAAGCAACAGTATATAGCAGTATGTCATAAAATGGGTGATCACATATGCTGAATGACTCCTTACAACAAAGTAAAATCAACAGAAACAGCATGATTACTGATCAAAGTTAAATGTGAAATGCTGCATAATAATATATAATGCTGATATTACAACTGAGAAGTGGTTAAGTGTGTGGTCACAGCTGTGAGACTGCAAGTAGATGAAGAAGCACATATGAGACTCTGATAGCTGTGAGATAAACTCCAATGTCTTCAGCTCCAACTAAAAATAAACACCAGTGTGTTCACTTTCTAATTTAATTCTGTCAGCAGTCACGAACTACATGGATGCTAAAATTATTCTACCGAGAAAAATATTTTTATTACCTCCTCTTTCTGAGTACAAACATTTATGCTTTGAGAGTGAAGTATGTTTTAGATGAACATTCAACTTAAAAAAACAGAGTTAGAAGAACACACACAAACAATTGATGGACACTATATATATATATATATCACTGCAGACATATGCAAGCAGTGGATGGTCTGCAATTTTAGATCCTAAATGAGAAAATGTGAACAATATTACAGTAATACAGTATAAAACTGTATAAAACTGTAAACATAGAATGATGAATACCTACAGGAACAGTTTTAAGTTTGACAGCAGTTTTCATTTCAAACATGTTGTGAAGTCATCACTAGTTTAGTTATCATTATCTGTTATTCCTTTAGATCAGTTTGAGTACACATGTTGACAAAATGACAAAAAAGGGAGAACAATTTGATCTTCCTGGCCAATGTTACTTTGACATGTGGAGAGAAAGCAAAACGATCAAAGTTTGGAATCAAAGTGTGAACTGAATGAACACAGCCTTTTTTGTTTTTCTTAAGGAACATGATTGATAGATTTTGCAATTCTACTAATATTTCAGTTTCATTAATCTTTATTTAATCTATTAAAGGTATTTGTTGTATCTTACAAAAAAAAAGCCCAAAATGCACACATTTGTGGATGTCAGCAAGAACTGAAACAAAAATAAGCAAATGATAAATGTAAGAAAATCAGCAGCTCAGTAGCTGTGGGGCTTTTGTCTGTTGAAGGAAATAACAGTTGAATCACCTCTTTAAATTTAGGCACAGCACTGTCACGTAAACTTCCAGTTTAATGAAAAAAAGTCCCCGGTGCTCGTTAGTTCATTTTTGTAAATGCAAATGATAAATAATAATTTTTTAAAAAGATAAGATAAAAGAGCGTTTCAAGAAATACTGTTTGATGTTCAAGCAGACACTTAGGGTCTGAAAGGCTAAGATTAAGGATTTAAAATGTTTTATAACTTTATCTCAGTCTTCATTTCATTTTTAATGGTTGATTCCTTCATTGGTGATTTTTGGTTTGGCTGGACATATTCTGTACAGGTTTGAGGGTTGCAGCTTCCCTCTTCCTCTCATGGAGGGAAGCAGAGAAGCTTCCTGAGACAAAAAAGTATCTGGTTAGTTTGGTTAGTTTCATAAATGTTGACAACTCTAGATATTAGAGGTGCACCATATAAAGTTGGGTGGAAGCCATAATTTCCAATAGGATTTTCACGAGAAAGCCCACATTTTATTGTTGTAAATGTTTTGAAACCTAGACAACCAGTGACTGAAGGACGATGTGTGGCATAGCATGTGCTACATGTGATCGCAAGTCAGGTTGGGGAAGGGAGTAGGAAAAACCACAATCAAACATTTTGGCAGTTACACACAAATCTATATTAATATGAGAGATCTTTGATGTAAGGGTGTTTTATTACAGCTGAATACAATTTTAATTATAAACATATAAATATAAACAGATGATGTAACTATGTTGACTAAACAATAATAAAAATAGTTAAGAAAAAAATTCTGAAAAAATATCTACTGTATTTAATTTAAGGAGTTCCAGTTGCATGTTAATAAGATGATTCTGACATCAGGTTTGTTGTTTTTCTTTTAGGGCTCCGACATGTGTTTCTCCTCCGTGGAAAGGACTTACACCTGGATGTAGAGAAATCTGTTGTACTAGACAAAAAAACTGAATTGATCTGGAAAGTTAATGAAACTAACAATATAGCTAAATGTGGTTTGAATAATGATCCAGTTGTGTTTGACAAATATGAAGGAAGGGCTGAGCTCTTCAGGCAAAATTACTCTTTGTTATTAAAGAATGTGCAACACAATGACAGTGGAGATTATACTGCATTCATGGTTAGCGGTGAAGACCAAAAGGTAGCTGAATACAAGGTCATAGTCCAAGGTAGGTTTCTGTTTTCATTATCTTTTTGAAATGGTGATTCAACATAGACCTGTTTTAAATCTCTTTATGCCTGTTACTCTTCAGATGCAGTTTCTCCAGTTAACCTGACAGTGGACTCTGTGTCTGGCAGTTCAGACTCCTGTAGCCTCACTGTGAACTGCAGCACAGTGGATTCTCAAATCAGCAGCATTTTCACATGTGATGCCCAAAACTGCTCTCAGGTGGAAGAAAACAGTTTGAAAACCCCAGATTATTATTCGTCTTTAATTGTTTACCTGCATGGAGACTTCATCATCTGTAATCACAGCAATAAAGTCAGCTGGACAGACAGTAAGACTAAACATTACTGTGATACAAGGACAGGTAAGTTTAAATGCCGTAAAGACATGAATGACTGATTTAAATCATACCAATTTAAAGAGTTTATGCAGCAGAACAAAGAAATAAAACAAATTTTTGATCTTTAAAGACTTCATCGCTTTATATTGATCTATTCATGTTTTTCTGTTGAAATAGAAGGTATTAAACTCTCAAAACACTAGAAAACACCAGTCTGGTTTCTTTATCCCTGATTTGTCTTCCTTCCCATGTATTTTTTTTGTCTAGTTCAGCCAAATCTGTGTTTGTTTACCTTTCTTTGTATTGTATATCTTAATCCATGTCTCAGTGTTGGTCATTTGCTGTTTTATAGCCTGTGTCCTGTTTCCTGTGTGCTAAATGTTCAGTTTTGCTCCCCTTGTCTCATTCATCTGTGATTATGTCAGCTGAGTGTCCCTCTGTTCCTTGTTTCAGTCTCTCTCACTCACCGTGTGTCCTGTGTTCCATTCTAGTTCGTAAATTCCTGGTTTCTGTCCAGTCATTCTCACCACAGACATGCCGTTAACCAAGGTGAAGATCTAAAAAGGATTTGCAGCTTTCCATTAACAGTCATAGAAGTGTATGAAAATTTCTAAATCTAATCACCTTTGGTTGGTGAATTTTGATTGGTAGTCCAAAACCTTTTGAGATTTAACACAAAGTGTTTGTGCTTCTGGTGTGATGATTCTGCCATTACTGAAATAACTGCAAATTTAAAATGACAGATTCTCGTCAGATTGTTTGTGATGTAATATTTTGTTTTCTTTACAGTTTCAAGTGCAAACATAATTATCGCAGCTGCTGGTGGCCTCTGTGGTTTCATTTTCATCATTGTCATCATTTGCATTGTCGCAAAACGTGAGTCGCAATTTGTTTTTTCAGCAAAAACAGTCAAATAAGAATTGTTGCTACTTTAAGTACACTGAAATCTAATATAATATGTAAGTATGCACTTAATGGGGCGATCGTGGCTCAAGAGTTGGGAGCTCGCCTTGTAATCGGAAGGTTGCCGGTTCGAGCCCCGGTCTCGGTCGTTGTGTCCTTGGGCAAGACACTTCACCAGCGCCAGTGCTCGGCAGCCTTGCCTCTGCCAGTGTGCCCCAGGGTGGCTGTGGCTACAATGTAGCCTCCCATCACCAGTGTGTGAATGGGTGGATGACTGGCTGTGTAAAGTGCCTTAGGGTCCTTAGGGCGCTATGCAAGTACAGGCCATTTACCATTTTAATATACATAAAAATACTCCATGAAAACAAAGAAAGTCAAGCCCAAATTTGGTACAATAGTATGGATCTGCTTTGTAAGGCATTTTTAAATGTGAATGTAATTTTCATTCAGAATGTCTGTTTAAGTTAACCTCACCTCTTCAAAAAGTGTTCAATTAGGTGACACATTGGTTCTCAAATTTCCCCCAATTTCACACTTATGAACAAATGAGCAAAGATTAGCAATCAAATCAGCTGTAAGGTTTAAAATCTATGTATCCAAATTATCCTGTCTAGATTACTTTCGTGAATGAATTGTATTCAAAGCTTCGTGGATCCTCACAGCGAAAATGAGTCTAAAAAAATGGTGTCCCTCAGTAAGGCAATATAGGCTGGAGGAAATAAAATTAGAAATAAAGCACCGAGTTGCTGCTACATTTGAACTAAAACATACAACTGCTTTAAAATGTTAGGTAAGTAATGCACATTCACAGGCAGTGCTGGGGAGATTACTTTTAAAATGTATTCCACTATAGATTACAGAATACATGGCCAAAAATGTATTTTGTAACGTATTCTGTTAAGTTACTCAATGAGAGTAACGTATTCGGAATACTTTGGATTACTTGATATATTATCATGCTTTTTACAACTACATGAATGTACTATAGCTGTGTGATTTATTACTATCGCTGAAGGTTAATCACCACCGAGCTAACATTTTTAACTGGCGTTAGCTGAGGTTAGTTCATAGACCGCAGACTGTTAGATTTGATGGATAGCATTAACAACCTGTTAGCAGCAAATAACCATGTGCAGTTCTGAAAGCAATGCCAACTAGATTTTTAAACCTTAATATAAAATGAGTAACACTAGGGTGGACATTAGGTAAGGCTGCACTTTTTGCAGTGATCTTGTATAGAAAACTATTTCTGTATCAGTAATATGTTTTCTTTCTTTCTGCTTTCAGAACTGCACATGGTTATTTGCAGCTAGCAGGTTGTAATGCAGCCTTCATTAATAGTCTTTTGATGCTGAGAGTAGCTTGGCTGATAGCAAACAGAGTCAGTCCCATTCTTCTTTAAATGTGAAGTGAAATTTCCAAGTAAGAAATGCATTCCTGCCCGTGCACTGCTGGCTCTGTTTTCCTGGCTTCAGGTCCACCATGTAACTGACACCACCAACATTAACAGGACGCTTATATTAGAGCCTCTTATTGCATGTTTTGTTTGGATTTCCTGCAATGTGTGGATTTACCAAGATTAGAGAGGGGATAGCCTAACATATGAAACGGGAAAAGACCGCTATGTAATCCATTTATTTCAACAAAGTAACTGTATTCTAATAAGCGGTAGCTGCAATGGAATGCAGTTACTCATATTTTATATTTTAAATACGATACGCCGTTACATGTATTCTGTTACTCCCCAACACTGTTCACAGGAGGGTAAAACTGTAATTGGACTGAATTGTAGGGTTGAATTTAATCCCACTGGGATAAGAAATTTGAATTTGGCTGAGAGAAAAACCACCACAAAAACACACGTATACACATAAAACAACAAAAAAACAGACACAACTGAAATCTAATAATGCGACCTGTTACCTAAATATTTGGTACCGGCTAAAGAATGAGCAGTTAAAAGCTCTGATTTTTAGTGTATTTTTTCCTAGATGTGAAGCCACTTTGCCACTTTTGTTGCTGCTGTTTATTTAAACATTCACATTACTCTGTGAAGTGCAGCATTCAAGCCAACTCTGCTTGGACAAATATGTGACAGAAAATATTTTGTGCCTTTTGCCCTAAAACCCAACTGGGATCAGTTCAAAGTGTTGGCTTTGAATATCACATTATCTGTATCTCACCTGGTTTCCAGTTGTTGTGTGTTGTGGAGCTGTCTGAGCTCCACCCACATCATCAGAACATTGGATTGGATACAAGTACTGCATGAAACAAGTTTTGACCAGTAATTAATTAAAACTACTCTTTTAAAAAACAAACAACAAAACACCCCTGCAGACAGCTCCCTTTTTTTGCTGTCTTGCATCTGTGTTTATCGATGCAGCGTCTGCAGTTCTCTCAAGAAAAAAAATAATACTGCTAATCCCACCTGGTTAAATAGCATTAAATAGTTTAAATATTTTTTTAAATAATTAATTGTTGGTTGTTAATTGCTGCCTTCTATTAACATGTCCGAGACATAACTGTGGAAAAAGAAGGGACCACAGTTACTACAGGCCCTTAACCAGTTTGTTGTTCGTGACTACAGTAATGAGTAATATTATAATACATGAAACCCCACTAAACCTCATCTCTTCACCAATATTATAGGAGAGATACATGACATTAAGACTGCTGCATCTAGAATAGCACCAAGCATTAACAGTAAATATATTTTCTAAGGGTGAAAGTTATTTTTAAAAAAAAGGAAATTCATTTTGACCAATAAAGATCGATGATTTTATTTATTTATTTACAGACTGATCAGTTCACTGTATGATAACAGGACAGGGGTGTATTAGTTCTCTGTAGCTAACATGAACTGATCTGGAGTCAATGTTATTTCCAGTGAGGAATTTAGACGTTCTGGTGGAAGATATGTGCTGTAAGTAAATCTGTATTTACTGTGACTGGCTTGCAGGTAAACGAAGGAACCAGGAAAATCAACTGTATGAGGCTGCTCAAGTAAGTGAACACTTTTTCTTAAGAGAAAAAAGAAAGAAAATGTCTGATTCAGCTTTATTTTAAATTCACTTCAAATTCAGAATAGTTTAATGAGCTAACACACTAGTTTTATGCGCCTGCCCAAAATCAACCTCCATCTTCTTTCTTCACTGCTCCACCCAGTTTGTTTGTTTTTTAACAAAACACTTTGGATTTGTTTCTAGGAGCATCCTCCAGGCCAAACTCGAAATGAGAATGTTCCAGGAGATGCCTCGAGTCTTTCCCCAACATCTACTTATGCCCTCGTGGAGTTTCACCCTAAAACAGAATCCACGAAGTCCAAAAAAATTCCACAGCCAGAGACGGTGTATGCTCAGGTTACCAGACCCACCAGGCCCAGAGTCACTGCCCAACAAACAGAGCTGGAGAACATCAGCAGTATAAATTCACAAGGCTAAACACATATGAACTATGAACACTTGAACTCTGCTTTTTTTTTTCTAAAATGTTGGCACAGAGGACATGTTGGATCAAATTTATCACCTGTTTAAAACACAAATGAACTGAATATTTTCTTAATGTTTTCAAACATTATCCTTTTTTGTAGTAATATCTTTTGTGTTTTAGATGGTGATGGCTTACTGTGAAGTACAATATTTTGTTTTTAGAGCTATATGCTTGAATCTCTTTTTCTTTTTCTTGTTTTTTGAAGTTTTCCTGAATAATGTAGTGCATATAATCTTTATCAATAATTATTGTAATTTTTTATATGTGTTGCAGACTATAAATAATACTTAAAGTTAATACATTTCAAGTTTTCTTTTTATAGATCTAGACCAGGGGTGTGAAATATAAGACTCCAATCCAGCCCACTGGGAGCTTTTAAAAATGTGAAGGAGGGCATAAATTTTGGACTGTCGAATATATTTCAGTTGTTTTGCCTTGGTGTTATATGAACTAAAATGAATTGGTTTGGCACACTTATCAAAGTGGGCTGGATGTGGCCAACACTGTAAGATGTGTTCAAAATCCACGATCTAAACTTTATGGAGAAATGTATTAAATCAATTCCTCATTAGGAAGACTTTGTTAGTTAACAGCCACCTTAAGTTTGTTGTGGAACAGCTGCAACAGAAAAACTTTCTTTGTAATTTATATTTATTACAGAAAGAAAGGCATGGGAAGTCAGCAAAACAAGAATAAAGTCTGGAGGTATACAGAAAAATCTTAAACATTTTTCTACTGGAATTTTCAAAATTAAATTCTAAATAAGTGTATATAATAAGAATCTGTCTGGTTGTTCTGACCAAATGTCACATGTCTAATGGAGTTTCCCCATATTTACCCTCATGAGTACATGCTACTGCCAATCAGTACATTTGGTTTCTTGATAAAGATGACATGTCCAAAAGATCAGATCTCTTCCTTTTTTACGACTCAGACTGAATGCCTTTGTCCTCAAAGGTCATAGTGAATTACACACATACACCCAAAGCTAAAAGTACATAAGACAGAAAAAAGATTTTCATTGCCTTCATGTTTGGTTTGTTTTAATTTAGCTGTTGTACCAGGGAACTAAATTGTTTTCGTAAAAGTCAAATGTAAAGTAGACATTAACAAAAAACATGTTTTGCTTTTGAAGAGGTTTTACAAGAACAAATTATGAGAAATGTTTCAATTAATTTATCCGGAAGAACATTTTGAAACTGATTAGTGGTGAAAAATACCATGTTCATCATTTAAAGATAATGTTTTTATTGTCAAATATATTGGAATTACATGTTTGGCCTTTTAACAGCCAAACTGAGATGAATTACAATACTGATGTCAGTTGTTTCATGAAGTCTGAGTTTCTCTTTATTTCTCTTGTACAAGAATATACTTGTACCAAAAAAAAGACAAGAAAAACTCATCTTATTTAAAGGATTTCTGTCATTGTCTGTTGTGAAGTTAGAACTTCATATTTTCATAAACATTTCAAGTCTTTTTACCTGATTGGCTTTTTGATTTTCAAGAATCAGATCTAAAAATGGAACCGTTGTTTTCTGCAAACACAGAGTCTGTTGCTGATTCCTTCTACTAAGTTTCTTTCACTCTCTTTATGTCTGTTTCCTCTGCCTCCTCAGGAACAAAAAGCACTCTACTCAGCAACCCTCCTCTGGCACTCTCTGATTAATTGACAAAGTTAGCAGTGCGGCTGGTATTTATCGACTCGTTGTGAGAGAGGGCAACCTTGACCCAATAAATTATCACAGATATATTGTTGTAAAATCATGGTAGTGACTTCAAGCAGAATCATGTGCAATAATGACTGTTACGGGAGTAACAAGTATTTGTACTGCACTCTACATACAAGCACAACAGCAAGCACAAAGTGAAACGTCAAACAGAGAGATGTGTAGGTGTATTTGAACCCAACTTTATGCAGACAGGAAGTCTCTGCTTGACTGAACTTCCTTTAAAGACAGATTGTAAAACGTAAATGCAACACACCCTGCATGCTGTATGAAACAGTATATGCAGTATATCATAACATTGGTTGTTACATCTACATGTTAACTCCTTACAACTGAAGGAGATGAATAAAAGATTATTACTATAGTTCAGAAAGTAAATATTAAATGCATATATCACATTTATCACATTTCACGCAAGGTTTAGTTTGTGGCTGTTAAGAACTACAGTATACCCCAAAGAAGTTGTGGTTCAGTTTGCTGCCTCAGTCCTTTCCTGATCATGTACACACAGACACACAAAGTTCAGACATTAGAACAGTCTCTTTTACTACTCATTTAACATACTGATCAAAAGGCAAACAGTTGTCCCTTCTATTTTCCCTGGTGAATTTCATGTTTCTATCCACTGAGTTGATGTGAACAGCGAAGGCTTCTACTTCTTGGGTTTTGGTTTTAACCCAGGTTTCCTCCACATCTGTACCGGTGGCTAGGTGCTGTCACTGTGAAAGAGCCCAAAGATTTACTTTCACTTCCTCCGTGTCAAGGCTACTTACAATGAGTGGCACTTTTGTCAGTGAAAACCCTTGTTGTATTTAAAATAAGTGGTGTGAAGGCAGAGTTCTAACAGCAAATCTGATTGGAGGGAAAACATCCTAGCTCTGATAGTGGCGCGGTGCTAGGAAATGTTGTAGTTGGCTGAGTTTATACTGCTAATGATGAGTCTGAGTAGGACTCCTTCTTTGTGGATCTGTATACACAGGCTATAGCATCCCCTGGGTACAGATGGTTATACTTAGAGCAGTCAATGGCTTTATCCTATGCAAGTTAATGCTTGTGGGGTCTCATAGGTATTGTCACTGAGGAGTGTAGTAATCGTGGGAAGATAATCAGCTGAGCTGAATACAACAGTGCACCTCCCTTCGTCAGCTGGTAATATGTTAATGTTTTGGTCTTTGCACGGGGAGGTGATAGCCTTCATTTCTTGCATTGTGAAATTGCACAGAGGAATTCAATCACTTGGTAATCGTGTTGGACAGACCAGCTCAAAAGTAACACACTGCCCTCTTCTGGTGAGGTTTAAGAAACACATTTGCCTCAGGAGCAAATCCTCAAACATTTTCATGATGGGTTTAACTAATAAATAATCATGAATGTTTTCTTGTCTTTAAATGTACCGTATGATGTTGGCTTGAGTGCATTGTTACATTTCTTATGCACAACTTTGTGTTTTCATTGTATAAGATAAAGAAACAGGGATTTATTTTTTAACCAAAGCTGCTACAAGTGAAAAAACAAACAAGCACAGAAGTTTTCTACATAAGACTGAGCTTTATATACATTAGAAAGGTTTATTTTTGCTTCTTTTTCTTCTCCATGAGATGCACACTGATGACAGCAATCACCATGATAATCAGACCGACAGAGAACACGACTGTCTTCACCACACAGACGGAGATCCCATCTGAACCTGCAACACAGGAAAACAGACAGATTTCTCACAAAATGAAAACAGCATATCCAAACAGCTAATCCAAACGTTGAACAACAACAGAGCCCAAGTTCTAAACCACTAATTTCTCTAAAAAATGTGAATAGCAGTTTGTGAACTTTGTAACTGACCAAACTTTTTATTTCCAAATAAAGGAAATGTATAGCAAAGTTTCAGTGACTGAGCTTGTGCAATAGCAGATTTGAAAACAGATAAGTTACTCAGACCAACAACAATTATTGTGAGATGTTACATTTTTGTTTTGACTTCAATAATAATCTCACCAGAAGAAATATCTTTTTGTTCATCAAAAGTAAGTTGTTAGTCCAACACATTTGGTGACATATCTGCGGGTGGGGACAATTTACTGATGGTCTTACCTGATTTTCTTTCACAGTACGGCTTGATCACCTTCTTGTTCGCTTTCCAGCTCACTTTGTTGCTATGATTACAAAAGATGGTATCTTGCTGCAAGTAAACAATAAGAGAATAAAAATATTTTGAGACGTTTAAGCTCTTTTCTTCCACTTGCAGGCAGTTTTGGGCATCACATCTAAAAATGCTGCTGATGTTAAACTCCACTGTGCTGCAGGTCACAGTGAGGTTACAGGAGTCTGAACTGCTGGAAAGATGGTCCACTGTCAGCTCAGCACGAGATACTGGATCTGGGGAATAAAAAAAACTGTGAATGGATGTTTCTGATGTATCAACATTTAAAAACTGTACTGGCAAGAGAAACGTACCTTGGACTATGACCTTGTATTCAGCTATACTTTGCTCTTGTCCTCCAACCACAACTGCAGTATAATCTCCACAGTCGCTGTGTTTTACATTCTTTAATACCAAAGAGAAATTTCGTCCAAAGACCTCAGCTCTTCCTTCATAACTGTCAAACAATATTGCTTCTTTATTATAACTAATTTTACCAACATAATTAGTAATATTATACTTCCAGAAAAAGTCAGTCTTTTTGTCAAGTACAACAGATTTCTTTACATCTAGGTGTAAATCACTTCCATGAAGGAGAAACACGTTTTGGAGGCCTAAAAGAACAGAAAAACAAAAATGTGTTGTCAGAATCATGTCATGTTCACCTGTGATTCCTTACTTTTATCAGATACAATAATGAAAATGAAAACAAAGGCTTGAAATAATACATGCACAATGAATTGAGAATACACAAAAATCCTTTTTGTTCATGAAACCATGAACAAAAATGACTTTTTAATGAGATGTCTCAGAATATAAAGATCTTTTTCTACATTGTCTGTTAAAAGTGCTGCTTTGTGATTTGAGAGTCTTGAGAATTCATTAGTTATTATTAGTAATATTATATATTCTACCACACCATTTATCTTCAATGAGTTCTGAAACTTTGATCCATTGAGCTGTCCAATAGCCTAATGAGAGGTGTTTAAATCACTTTTGTATAATCTGTGCTATATTGGTTCCAGCTCCAACAGTGTAAAATGACAGAGGCATACAGTATATTTTCATTATGACCAAATTAATATAAATTATTTTTGTTTGTGCTATGGTAACTATAGTAGGGCTTGTTTTTGTGGCGTTAACAGGATACGTTTCTCGAGGTTTCACGAATAAAACATACTCCAGTAGAGAATCTGTAAACTATATTGCGTCACACCAGGAGAATACGGAAAATTACATTTTTAGAATGAGTGAAAACACGGCATTTCACCAGGATTTCAAACTAAAACTTAGAACATAAGGAGCTCGAGAGCAGGTGACCATAGTGCACATATCCAGGAACAAATACAACCACCTTTTAAAACTGAAAATTCTGGGTCACCTCACTGACCTATTAATCTTGCTTCATATAGCACACTACTTTGGCATTATTGTTGGCAGTAACAGGTAAGAACCTTTACTTCCATTAACTACTTTGACAAACCGTCTTCAGACTCCGAAAGAAGCACATCGAATGCAATCACGATGTACTTTAAGACTTTAATATTAAACAAAGCCACTCGTGCTACTAACCCCTTCTTCCATACTGCTCTAATAGAATCTTACATGATTACAGATGACACATATTCATTACTAATCAAAAAATAACAACTACCGGTACTATAAAATAAAAGGTTTGCTCTTTTCCTGTTTGCCACTGTTGTTCCTGGTGTTCAGTTTGCTGATCACAATAAAACAAAACGTAACAGGAAATAACACACCAGCAACAAAACATGTCTCATTGCTTTGTGTGTAAATGATCAGGCAGATATCTTTTCATACCTTGTGCCTCAGTGCAGAACAGCAGCGCCAGTACCACCAAGAAAAACATTGTATAGTCTTAAGCTTAATGCAACACCATCAA